CATATTAAAATCTTGATGCTCTTCTGAAATACTAAGAATATTTCCTAAATACCATTGAGCATTGTAAACGCAGGCCACATATTCTCCTGTTGAGTAACTAGAAATTTTATTAATAAAAATTCTGCAAGTAGAAAAATCCACATTAGTGCAAATACTATCAAATGAAACTCTTCTTATTTTTATTGAGGTAAGTGACCTTGGGATAAAACTGTGGTGGTTTCGTGTCCCAGGGAACAAGAACGATATCTCTCTTCCAAATTGAAGTTTGTAATATGTGTTTCTATTGAAACAAAAAAAGATTATCTTTTGACGTGTTGAATACACTAGCTGTACATTTTGCTTGGTGTGTCAATAGGATCGTTAAGTGACTGTAGACTGGCTCGTGCAATAAGACGTTTCACTGTTCTACCAACACCATCACAAGGGCTTTTACCATGTGATGTTGCACAAAAGTCACTCTGCAATCATGTCAAAATCGTGTTTATGGTAGCATAAGTTGATAACATTTTTTTAAATTTTCATATTGTGATGCAGCTCCATCACTAAAATAGATAATGTGTTCTTAATTAATTAAGTTTATCAATAACATTATCGATTAAGCAAAGAACAGCATCTGTTCCATGTTTCAGATGATCTGATATAACACAATAACTTTGACTATCAAGTTTTCCATATTTTATAAAATACGCAACAAAGGGGTGCACAGTTGCCGGGCTGTTATTCCAGTGAAAACCTTGCACTGCATCCTGTATTAGAAAACTATAGTTTTCTGCAAAGTCAAGAAGAACTAAAGCTTGATTTCTTTTTAAATTAGTTTTCAAATATTGGTAGTAGGTGGCTTGACTTTTTGATATAAAATGATGCTCTCGTAAACTATCTAAATGTTCATAAATCATTTCAATAAATTCATTCAAAGGTAAAGTTGCTGGTGCTAAAGTACATTGGTAATTTGATTTTTGCCATTGATAAAAATTAACTTCACTAATTTCATTTTCTGTAAACAAAGTGTCAATGTAATCTAACAAAACCTCTTTAGCAGGACATTTATCGCAGCTAGGCAGCATACAATCTCTATTTTCAATGCTACAAACCATTAATTTCAATAAAATTTTGTAATCAGCAATTCCAGGAATTTTCTGTACAAGGAGCTTTACATTTTGATGGTACTGGCAAACACAAACTGTATGCAGACCAGAAGCACCACCCACAGGAATGCACCGCTTGGGCCTTAGCTTACAAAACTTTAAAATTCCAACTTTAAGATAATTATATTTCTTTTTAAACTCAATATGTAGCTCTTTCATATTGACTAGTAGAAGTTGCTTTTGGATGTGTTGCTTTATACTATCTACTTTAACTAAAACAAACTCTTTCTTTCCTGGACAAACCTTTGAATATTCATCGCATTCATAGAAATGAACAACCTCTTTAATTACATTTTCGCTTAGTTTTTTAACCGGTTTTGGAGAAGGTTTTGATAGTATTTCACTTTTTTTTCTTAACTTTCTGGCTTGTACTACAGATCTTTTTGAAGTCAAAAAATACATCTGAGTTTTCTCTATTAACCAACTGTCTGGAGTGAGCGTTAGAAGTGCGATTTTTTCAGAATTTGACAATGTTTTTTCAAATTTTACTTAATTTGAGTCATAATTGTCTAAATCTGTGTTTGTTTTTTTCAAACATTTTTTTGAGGGTGACTCAATTCTACTAAGTGCAGCTATTTCTAAACCTAGCACATTGGCAACAGCCTTTTGTGTATGAGCTCTTACGCTATCAATTTTACGCTTTCCATATGCAACTCTTTCTTTTTTTGAAACAAGTTTGAGAGGTGAGCATCCAAAACTTGCAATACTTGAATTGAGATCTTCCTTTAATGTATGGTTGTCAACATAAATTTCTTTTTCTTGGAGTTCATTTTCTTTTGTATTATGTTTGCAATTCAGAACTTTTCTGCAACTAGTGCAAACTTTTTGACCAGGTATTAAACCAAAATCTTTGGCATATGAAAGACTGATAACTCTAAGAGAATCTAAAAAGTAACGGTAATAACTATTAAATATTGTTTTTTTTATTTATTTAGTGTTATTAAGGTATTTGTATTAAATTAAGATATTAGTTTAAATATTGAAAACTACTTTTCACTTTTTTTGGGTGCCTGTTCAACGGATTACAACAATACCTGCGACGTTCATTCTCATACCTCGACAAGTAAACTTTCTCCTGATAGCTACAAATAAAATCTATGGGATCTATTTTGCTTCTCAAAGAAATAAGCTCTCAGTTTAGTATAGAGAGTTCTTGGTAGCATTTACTTTTTTTAGACTTGTTAAGCTTAATAAGATAGCACTGTTCATTTAATGCTTTACCAATACAAGTAGAAAGCTCAGGCATATTACTTATTATTAATTAGTTATAAAATACAACAATTTATTTGGATTTATTAGTACTTTTTAGATTGACATACTAGTAATATAGAATTAAATGAAACAATAACTTAACTTTTAAAAAGTAATAATTTTTTATGGAAAATTTACAAGACTTTTAGAGACTACCTTTTGGGGGTTATAAATAAGTGCCCATTAATTTTTTTGGTTTTTATTAATTAAAACTCTTTAATTTATGGGTATAAAAAAGTTTATGTAAAAAAAAAAGTGCCATCTTAGGTAACAGATGTTTTGCATCACAGATCAATTTTACGAAAATCTCAATCCAACTCATTTTGGAGACCTGTAACTTTTAAATGCAGCTCTTTGATCAACTGATTTTTTTAAAAATGTTTATCCACCACATGTAGATCAGCAGGTAATTTGATTTGTATTAATCTTTTAACTAGTTTTTAAGATTAATTATTTTAAAAACAAAAATCTCAACTTAAGCCCGCCATTATGGAAAAAGTTAAGATGCCAGAATTAATTTTTTTTTTCTTAAAGTATCTACAGCACACTTGCTATCTTATAATAACTGAAGTATAAAACTAAATTGTTCAAAAGTTATTGGCTGTTAAAAATGATGAAAAAAAACTTTTTTCTTGTAGAGTGAAATTTTATGCAAAATAGCCCACTACTTAAATAGCGTTTTATCAAGAACCATAGATATTTTTGAAAATTTTAGATATTGATCTAAAATTTTCAAAATATGCTTTTAACATATATATGTACAAAATCAAAAAATTTCAATAAAATCTAAGATGGTCAATGAGGGACCTCATTAAAATTTGCACCACTTGGCACGGAATGACCCTTTTTGAGCCTGTGTAATTGTGTAATATGTGTGCAATATCAGGCTTTCACAGGAAGGCATGTGAAAACATGTCTTTATATGACCATGCAAACTATATTTTGCTATGATAATTTGACCGCGGTTAATTCGAAAAAGCATTTTAAAAACACATTAAATGAAAAAATTCTGAAAAAGTTAAATTAATTACGTCAAAACTTCTTAACAAATGTTTTCATATTAGTGAAACGCTTTTAAATAAACCAACAATTTACTGATGTTTTCTTTTTTTTTTTTTTAATATAACTGACAGTTGTATATATTTTTTAAATCTATAATATATAAACTGTTTAAGTGTGCATTTCTATAATAAACATTAAAAAAATAAAAAATTGTTTTGTTTTTATAAATGATGACGTTTTCCGACTACGAAAGTCTATTTAACAAATTTTAATATAAGAATAATTAAAGTTAATACATTTAAAAAGATAAACAAAATTTCGTTAAAAAAAAAAAAAAGGTTTTTTATCAAGAACTTTGAATCTATTTATTACTTCAAAGTTACATCACTGAAATTTACTACCATCTTTTTTTAAAGATGGTAGTAATTCATAACCGTAATCTTTCATAACCGTAATCTTGTGAGCCAACCGCTGGCTATCAGCTCTGTGGATTTTTTAAACCTTTTCCGGCATAAGTTGCTTTAGATAGCCATTACAATTAAATAAGTTTGATCTTAAATACTTTTATATTATCAAAACGCTTTTCAATGAAGTAACAAAACACTTCTTATTAATTTTTAAAATAAGAATCAACAAACTGTTTTTTATTTTTCTTTCATTTATATAATTATGTATTTTTTATGAGAAATATTTATCTTTTGAAACATATTAAATAAAAAATAAAAAAAGCACAAATGTTGAAAACAAAGATAAAAATGGTTTTTTAATGCGTAAATTAAATAGACTAAGCATTTTAGTTTGATGAGTTTTTTTTTACTCAGGTTATATTTATATTTATTTTTTTGTGTTTTTGCTTTAACTAAGTAATTTTTTTTTAGATAAGTTTAGGTATGTTTTTGTAGCACACTTTGAAAATTTCAAAATATGTCAAAAGCCGTCAAATCGTTAAAACATATTATTTTTTGCGTGGTCATATAAAGACATGTTTTCACATGCCTTCGTGTGAAACCCTGAATATTATCTTAACTCTTAGATCTCGACAAAATAATTAATATGACATTAAATGTCACTAACTTGGTCATTATAGACAATTTTATGCAACCTTACATAAGCAATTATCAAACTAAAAAAAGCTAAATTTTAGTTAACAGCTAAACCTCAACAGTTGGGTTGAGCAGAAAGTAGAATGAAAATCAATTTAAAAGTTTGGTCACAAGCTTTTTATTTACAACTTTTCTTGGTATGTTTTTTGTGTTCATTTACTAAATTTAATTTAACAATAAAAGTAACATATATTGAACATGTTTTTGAGATGTTATTGACATAATGGTGTGAATTAATCAAATAAATAAACTAGGTGGATTAAAGACATTAAAGTGCATTAAGGGACATTTTAATTTGATAAGTTGAATGGCTTAATAAATTGTAGATAATAAAAAATCTATAATAGTTTTTAATATAAGAGGTTTTTTAGTGTTTTCTTTCGCCAAAAAATATTTAATAACCACAATAATAATAAACTGTTTATAGTAAAATTCATGTTTATAGTATGTATATATAATTAATAAATATAAAAATTTTCAAATAATTATAAATTCTTACTTTTTTCCAGTAACATCATAAAAAATAATTCGTTTATCTAACCCACAAGAACAAAGCAACATATCATTTAGTGGTGAAAATGATACTTTTGTACCAGGCCCTTTATGCTCTGTAAATGTTTTGATTAACTTTTTTTCTTTTGTATCCCATAACGATACGGCACCACTGTCATTAATTGATGCCAACAATGATCTTACAAAGTGTGAATAATTTAAACTTCGGATTGCCTGAAAATAAAAAATTATAAAAAATAAAAAATAAAAAATTGCTCTACTTTATATGAAGTTATTAAAACTTTCAATAGGTTTTGGGTTTAGAGTAAGCAAAACATCATTAAAAGTTTAATGTGAGACAAGTTTATACGTATAATTTTATTAAAAAAGAAGAAAAAGTTATTCTGTGTAATCTGTAAATATAAATAATAAAAAAAAAGGTAAACAACATTAAAAAAAAATTAATGAACTATTTTAAAATATATTTATTAGCCTAGTTTGATTTAGTTTAATGTTAAAAATTTTCATCTGTTTTTTTTTTTTTTTTTTTATTTTCACAAAAAGTGTCCTTAAAGATTTGAAAAAATCTTTAAGGACACTTTTTGTAAAAATAAAGCAAAAAATTGATATTTTAGTTGTTTTGAGATATTGTTGAAAATACAAAAAATAGCAACAACATTCTTGAAAGTTGCATTAATGTTGTTTTAAAAATGTGTCAAGCTAATAACTTTTTCTTTGATTTTTTTTTTAGAATGATTTTTTACTCATTTTTTGAGTTTTTTATGCCAAATTTATAACTCTGTTGTATTATCAATTATAGTATTATAAAGTAATAGTAGTAGTAGTAGTAGTAGTAGTAGTAGTAGTAGTAGTAGTAGTAGTAGTAGTAGTAGTAGTAGTAGTAGTAGTAGTAGTAGTAGTAGTCGTAGTAGTAGTAGTATTCATTCAGTATTTAGTACTATGATCATCACTAAAAATCATAATACTACAGATTTCATGTCTACCTGTGCTCAAGGCTTTTTTAAGAATTAAAAAAACATTGAGTGCAAATGTTAAGTCAAGTATATTTTGTAAAATATCCTTATCATAAAATAACTATTAAACAAAAATATTCATTTAAATCCGTTCAAAAATTATTTTACAGTCAGTAAACACTGTTTACTAAATAAAATATACAATTTTTACTCAAAATTTGACATTAAAATCAGTCTTAAAAGAAATCAAAAGAATTATTGGTTTTAGCCTTGCTGGTAATTCTACAAGAAAAAATTATTTTTTTATTAATTACACATAATAAACATAAATAACAATATATAAATATATATAAATGTATATATAAACAAAATTTGTATCCCTATAACAAAACAAAAAAAGTACAAAACACATATTACATTAAAATACATATTAGAACACATAAAAACATATTAGAACACATAAAAACACATATTACATTAAAACACATAATAGAGCACATTAAAACACATATTACATTAAAACATATACTAGAACACATTATAACACATACTAGAACACATTAAAACACATATAAGATTGTATTTAATAACATAATTTTAATAAATTAAATCATAATTAAATCATAAATAATTTAAATCATAAATAAGTCCATCAATATAGTAAATATATGGTATAACCGTATCAATATGGTAAATAGCAGTATAAAAATAAGGTATAACACAGTAGTGGTGTAGTGGTAGAGAGCTCCCTTCATAAGCGAGAGGTTCTGAGTTTAATCTCCACCACATCCCTGGTAGTACCGTTTTCAACTTGTTTCTCCATGCAGTGGCCTTGTTCATCGAGGTTCGTGTTTTGGAGTTATAAAGTTGAGGGAGGGTTATAACCACAATTAAGTAGCTTCCTTGTTTGCAGTGGCCTTCTCGGCCTTGGAAAAGTTAAAAAATATATAAAATAAATAAAAAACAATGAGGAATTCCAATTAAAAAATCATAAATAAGTCCATTAAAATGCAGCAATTCCAATATAATTATTCTAAATAATTATAATTAAGTCCATTATTATCAAGAAATTCCAATAAAATAATTATAAATAAGTATATTAATATTGAGCAATTCCAATAAAATAATTATAAATAAGTTCATTGATATTGAACAATTCCAATTCCAATTCCAATTGAATAATCATAAATAAGTCCATTAACATCAAGCAATACCAATTAAATAATTATAAATAAATCCAATAATATTTAGCAATTAAAATTAAATCATCATAAATAAGCCCATTAATACTATAACTACAGATACTAATATAATACCAAGTAATTCCATATTAACAAAATTTTTTTATTAATAAACACCTAGTTCAATAAACATTAATGTAAAAAATCTTTTTAAAATGTTTTCATAGCGCCATTATGCAAAATATATTGTTTTTGCCAAACTTTGAAGGAACGCAGAATTAAACCAAAAAAAAACTAGCAATTTTTTATATATACATACATATATATATATATTAACAAACCTGGTTTTCACCTGTTGAAAGTGGTTCAGATGAAACTCCTGATTGCACATTAGTAAGCAAAATATTGCCATGATTAGAAGAAGAAGCTATTGTATTATCATTGTAGTTAAAAATGCTGCAAGTAACAGGATGTGTGTGATCCTATAAAATAATATGAGTTAAATCTCACAGATCTAAAAGATCAGAAATACACATGCTAACAACTTTTGTCTTATATAATAAATGACACTATTAAAAAAAAAAAGTTTACAAAAAAATAGATACAAAAATAAGATGACGAAAATAAACACAAAAAAAAAATGAATATCTATATTTACTTTTACAAAAAGAGATTAATTATTGGACGTGGAGTCTTTTTTGAGACTTAAATTCACTGGGCAAGACATATGAAAAGACTGGGCAAGACATATGAAAAAACTGGGCAAGACATATGAAAAAACTGGGCAAGACATATGGAAGGACTTCTTACAGCAACACAACAACAAAAACAAAAGATTTTATTATCATAATTATTTTTTACATAACTTTGTTATATTATTTTTATTACCAACTTTTTCTAAAATATAAAACACACACTTAAACAATCCTATCTAACAGGATTAGGTTGAAGTGCTTTTTCAAATTTTGTAAAAAAACAAGATGTAGTAAATAATTAAATAATTTTTTTTTTTAAAGTTTTTTAGTCTACAGTTTTAAAAACCAGCTGTATAATATATCAAATGTTAAAACCTTTTAATTTAAATATATATATATGTATTTTTTGTCTTTCTGCTGACAGATTGAATTAAGGCTGGCATGTAATCTTTTATTCCCTCTCAACAATTTCAGGTCAAGCCTCACTCCATGGTTTTTCTCACATTGTGCTGCTGCAATTTCCAATCGAAACCATTACTTCCATATTTATCAGCATAACAATTCTCCAGACATCTGTTTACTTTTGCTAGAGACCATTGCAAAAAGGTTTTCTCTAATGTCCAAGCCCACTAATCTTAGGTTATGAAATCTTGTGTTTCACTACAAAAATTAGGTTCTCGTGAATTCTGGAGAATCTTTAACAGTATCAATAATAAGGGCAAATCTGTTATTCCACCCCTCTTGTATGGTTCAGATTTTGTCACCTCACCTTAAGACAAAGCTGAATTGTTTGCTAAGAACTTTTCATCAATAACTTCTCTCAACTCCACTAGATGCGTTCTACCTGATATAGCCAACAAACAGGTTGATCCATTGCTTGACATTCTAACACTCCAGCTTCTGCATTTAAAGTGATTTCCTGCTTTGACTCTTCTACAGTTTGTGGTACAGACAACATACCTGTTATAGTCTTGTAGCAGTATTCTCTAGAGCTGTTGTCTATACTTTCAAAACTATTTATCAAGTGCTTATCAGAATCTGGTTTTCTAGCATGCTGGAAACCAGCATCTGTTATCCCTATTTTCAAAAAATTTAAACTACCCTTCCATTAGCCTTCTTCCTATCATAAGCAAGGTTTTTGAATCTTTAATTAACAAAAACTTAATTTCTTATCTTGAACCTAATAACTTACTTTCTGATCATCAATATGGATTTCGATCTTCTCATTCTACAGCTGATTTGCTAACAGTAATAACCGATAGGTTTTAATATGCATTAGATAAATGCGGAAAAATTAAGGCTATTGCTCTTGACATTTCTAAAGCTTTTGATAAAGTTTGGCATGCCGGTCTTCAAGCTTTTTTTTCCTTCTTTAACTCTTCAAGGTTCTATCCATGGTCCTATACTCTTATTAATTTACATTAACCATCTTCCACATATTTACACATCTATTGTGGCATTGTTTGCTGATGATACTACCATTCATTCTTTTCTTGATAAGAAGTCAACACTCTCTAATTGCTTGGTGGGAGCACTCGAGCTTGAAAAAGATCTCACTTCTGCTACAGCATGGGGCTCACAATGGCTGATGAACTTTAATTCAGATAAAACTAAATTTTTTTTCAGCCAATCGTTATCGCAATAACTTAGATCTTTGTATATTTATAAACAGTAATGTACTCAATGAATCATCTAACTTTCATCTTCTAGGATTAACTCTTACTTCCAATCTTTCTTGGAAATCGAATATCAAATCAACTGCAAAATTAGCATCTGCTAAGGTTTCATCTCTTTATTAGAGCTAGCGTCTCTTGTGTCATCTACTGAAATTCATTCTCGTGTTACTCTTCATTTAATTAAGTCTCATCCTTATTCTGTGACTGTTCTTAAAAACTCTTATTCGTCTAGTTTTTTAACTCGAAATTCAGTTCTTGGAACTTGCTTCCTTCATCTTGCTTTCCTGATTCATATAATTTGCAATCTTCAAGTCATCTGTCAATCGTTAATATGTTCTATAAACTTCATATTTTCTTTTCCAGTAACTTTTAACTCTAAAAGTGGTTGCTTCCAACCTTGTTAGAAGCAAAGATGTAAGCTTTTGAAATTGATAAAACTTCAGAAGTTCTTTTAGATATTAAAGAAACCCATTGTTTTCAAAGACTAGTAAGAAGTGGTCACCTGTCCCATTACTATCCTAGGGAAATACCCTATCTTTATAACTATTCGAAAATTGATTAATTATTACTTTTATGTCATTTCGATTTAGTGGCCAACCAAAATCAAATGTATATTCTAATGAGGATACAATGTATTTCTCCTCACAATGTATTCTAGCTCAATATTGTCTGAAGTATTTGAGGCAGTTATTTTTTTTTATAATGACAAATCATTACAAAAACTGAAGAAATTCAGAAAAAAATCAAGTAAAATACAATCAATCATGCGTAAAACACATGTGTAAAACACGTGTAATCAAACATATGTAAAACACATATGTAATCAAACATGTGTAAAACACAATCAATCACCATCAATCACACTATAAAAACGATCCAGTTATAAAGTAAAATAAAGAAATCAAGTCAAGCGATGTTTATCTGTAAAAAAAGAATTTAAGAAAATTATTCGGTTGACAAGGGAAAACTTTTAACCCTTTTTTTTGTCTATAAGTTTAATTTTGTGTTACCTAATTTATGGATGATCACTTATGGGAAAACAGATTTACTTTCTGAAACTGTCGTACTTTCGAGAGATAAATATATATTGTGATTCCACGATTATAATACTTTATATTGAACAAGATTAATCAGAATTTGATACTTATTTTTTGAATAATACATTAATAGGTCAGAAAAAATAAACTATAACTACCCAAATGATTTTTTTGTTGACAACTTGACCATGATTGTTTAGATGTTTTGAGAATTTAAACATTTCAGAAAAGCGCTGAAATAAGAAACACTAAGCTAAACTTAAACTACGAAGAAAAAAAAAAAAAAACTAACGAAAAACAAAAATTTCTTACAAAAAAGAAAATATATAAGCTTGAAGATAAAACCTAAAAAAGTTTTAGGGTCTAACAATTCATTGGGCGTTTGAGAAAGTCAGCCAGCATTTTTACTGCTTTCTAGATTTTTATTTATTTTTTTAACTTAATTTTAAAATATTGTAATCTTATTGATTTTTATTTTTATTGATTTTTTAATTTTTATTGATATCACTATATATATATATATATATATATATATATATATATATATATATATATATATATATATATATATATATATATATATATATATATATATATATATATATATATATATATATATAAATATATATATATATATATATATATATATATATATATATATATATATATATATATATATATATATATATATATATATATATATATATATATATATATATATATATATATATATATATAAGTTGGAATAAAAACTTGTGAAATCTCTAGCGCTGAACTATTCACACAAAATACGCTTTTTTCGCTAACTAACCAAAAGTTATGTGGCGGAAGTACCATTTAGCAAAACCCCGCAATGCAGGGTAAGGGGCCTGAGTTGTAGGGCCTAACTTTTTTCAAAAGTTGTGCAACAGTTTTTAATAACTATATTTAGTTTAAAATTATTTTTCTTTGCTGGTGGAGCGGGCCTAAAAAATATTTTGTGGGGAAAGGGGCAAAATTTGAAGTTCCGCCATTGAAAGTTATATTATGGAAAGCAAAAGATTAAGAAATATAAAGAATTGCAAAAAAAAGGTAGACCTTCTCGACTGTAGAGTAATTAAAATAAAACAAATTTAAACAAATAAAAAGAACTTAAACAACACTTATTTGCTTTACCTTATTTTAATTGTTTTAACTTTAGATTGTAATGCACAAACATTAGGTATTCTCCGTTATCTGCTTTTAGTCTGGTCCTTGTTGCTTTGTATATGTCCCCACCAGCACTAAATAATCTTTCACTTTCTATTGATGACGGAGGTGCTGTAAGATATTTTAATGCCATCTTTTTTAGTTTTTCAAAATTGCATTCCACATTTACTCCACCACAAAAACGGAGAACCTTTATATCTAAAAGAGGCAGAGATAAATAATTGTCTATTTCTTGAGTAATTGTAGACCTTAATATTGTTTGCTTCTTAATTATGTCAGTGGTAACAACTTCAATATCTACTAATTCTCTTTCTGCCTTGGAACGTCTTTCACTCTGCTTTCTTCCGGTTCTTATAGAAGCTACATCTTTAAAACAATAATCAATGCTAATGAATCCATTAGATGCTGGAGCTTTTACTATTGGAGCATCGTCGGAGTCAGAGTCAACAACATCTTGCGCTCCTTGCATTTCTTTCCATGCTTCTTTAACCCACTCCTTAATAACATTTTCATCTGCATGTTGATAAAGTAATTTATATCATGGATCCAAAAATGTTGATACACATAACATTTTATTAAGCAAAAATTTATCAAGTCTTTTAGTAACAGATTTAACTAGTTCATCAATCATCGTCATAATTCCAGCGTATATATCACTTGATGAAGCTTTTTGTAATAAAACTTTTAATGCAAGAACAGATGGTATAATTTGTGCGCAAGTTTCGTCCCTCCTACCACATTTTTTTGTTAAGTTTTCAAATGGAGCAAGAATGTAAACAAGTTTTTTGACTATTCCCCATTGATAATTAATAGAAAGTTTAATTTCATCATATTCTGCTGCATAGGTGGCCAAAGGAACTTTTTGTTCAATCATTCTTTGTAGCATTTCAAATAAACTGTTCCGGCGAGTTGGAACATCTTTTTTCATTTTGTGAGGTACAATACTTAACTGCTGCTGAATTGATTTTAATTTTGCACATGCTATTGGCGAATGATTAAAACGTGTTGTTCCTCTGCATAAAGTTAAAATTTCTTTGATTGTTTCTGGGCTAAATATAGAGTCATGAATACACAGCTGCAAAGTATGGATAAAGCATGGTATTAATGACATTCCACTGTTTTTTACTGCAGCCTTCATATTGCTTGCATTATCGGTAACAATAAGATGAATTTTGCTTAACGGAATTTCAAAAGTTTCTGAACCTTTTTGTAAATACTCTTTTATATGAACACCTGTGTGCTTTTCCGTAAAATGAATAACTCGAACTACAGTAGTATCTTGGGAATATTTAGTTTGATCTATCCAATGTCCAGTAATGCTTAAAAATGCGATTTTTGCAGTATCCGCTGTCCAAATATCTGTCGTCAGAGACAAATAGTTTGCCGCGGAAATTTTTATTTTTATATCTTTAAACAGTTCATCATACATGCTAGGGATTACGTTTTTTGGCTGAAATATGTTCTACATGGTAATTTGTAATTAAGGTAAGCATCTTTAATCAGTTCATTAAACCCCGTATCTTCAACAATAGAAAATGGCTGAATATCCAATGTGATAAGTTTTCCTAATATTTTATGGATTCGAATAGATCTGTGGTCATCAATATTCTACTGTTTTTTTTTTGTGTAAAGCCTGAATAATGTTACTTTGTACTGTATTGGTGGTAGAAGCAACTGAGGCTTCAGAAATAGACGGCAATGATTGAACCTTTTTTTTCTTCTTCCGCAAGTTCAAACTCTTTGGAATGCTTTAAACGCAAATGTTTTACCATTGCTGTAGTTCCATAAGACTTGAAAGATTTTCCTCCTCTCGTAACTAAACTATCACATAGTTTGCACTCATATGAGGAGTCGTGCTTATACCAAAGAACTTCCACGCTATACTTTTTTTTGTCATAATTTTTCTTTCAAATAAAATCTATATAAAGATAATGAAACTAGTTTTGATATCAAAGTTTTCGTTTATTTTATATAAAACGATAATTTTTTTAATAATACGCTTGAAATTAAAATATGAAAAATGTGTATAATATTTACCTTATATCTCTACTTTTATGATTTTTGTTTGATACGAATGAAAAATGGCTATCAGCGTTCAAAAGCATTATAAGCGTTTCATTCAAAGCTAAATTGCTAAAAATTATCTTGTGTTCTAACAGAATAAAAAGAAGCTATTCTAAAACTTTTTTTCCCATTCTTTTTATTCGCATTCTTGAATTATTTCATTTAGCGTTACAGTTTTTGTTGCCGGGTCCCCGGGTCCGAACTGGGTACCCAGCACACCACTAATATATATATATATATATATATATATATATATATATATATATATATATATATATATATATATATATATATATATATATATATATATATATATATATTTTCTGACAAAATTAACAATGATTGATTAACCTTCTTAAGCTGTCTTAAGAACTTAGAGAAAAAATCTCAGAGAACTTAGCTTTTGTTTTGTTGTTAACAGTTGGCTACTTTGTTAACCAAACTAAAAAGTTTACCTTATAAATTCTTTTAGCCGTTTTAGATTTAATATCCCAAATGCATACAACATGATCCACTCCACTGCTTACAAGATAGCGAGAATTTCCATTGAAAGAAACACTAGATTGCTCACACTATAATTTACACATTGCCAAAATATTAACAAAAAAATATAATAAAAAAAGATAAACAAAATAGACAACAATAATGTATTAATGCATATGTGATATAAACTAAACAACATGTATTTTGAACAACATGGAAAAATAAATAACACTATGGTTTAAAAAAACAGCTAATCAAACAACCAATCAAGAAACTAATCAAGAACTAATTAGAAACCAAATAAACCAAACAAAAACTTCAATTCATTCTAAATTTATTTATTTTACTAAGTTAGTCAAGAAAACACATTTTTGATGGGAAAAGTCTCTCTCCCTAACACACCATTGTATCGGATAAAGACACACAGATTCTAACAAAAAACTGATTTCATTGACTTTCAGACTGGCCTTATTTCTGAAAATATAAACATAAAAAAAGAACATAGAGAGAATGTGATATGTGAAATGTGATAATATCATGTTAATACCACATCATAAAAATAATTAAAAAAAACTTAAGCTGAACTGAAATTAACCATGGAAGAATACAAAAAAAATGATTTAACCATATTCAATATCTAATGATCTGTAGTAAATGGTATTTGTAATAATAATATTACAATAATACAGCATAATAAAAACAACAGTATTAACAACAATAAAAACAATAACAACAAAATATACATATAATAGTATAAATTATTTTGCATAGATATTATGGTGGCTCTTAAAACAAAATTTTTTAAAAATGTTTGCTCCCTAAATATGGTTAAAAACATTTTTTGAAAATGTCTGAATCCCTAAATATGGTTTATATAGAAAAGTAATGCTAGATTTAAAAGTTTTTTTGAATAAAAAGTATTTTTAGGGGTTGGTCACGACCATTAAACATCAGACAGGTACCTAATATTATGTAAAAAAGTATTTTTTCAAAAGTATATCATATCTTAAAAGAAGCAAAATTATATAAAAGTTTCAAAACAAATCATTATTTTATAAAAAAATAATATAAAATAAAAAAAAATTACAATCAAAAATTTTTGTAAAAATGCATATTTTTAATTTTTAGTTAAAAAAAATGTCATTTTCTTGACAGTAAAATAGAAATTTTTTATAAAATGATGATTTGTTTTGAAACTTTTATCTGATTCCTCTTGCAACATGATATACTTTAAAAAAATACTTTTTTTCATAATATTAGTGACCTGTCTGATTTAAAGGTCTTGAGCAACCCCTAAAAATACTTTTTATTTAAAAAAACTTTTAAATCCAGTATTACTTTAGTATATAGAACATATTTTAGGGGTTCATAACATATTTAGGGGTTACTTTAGTATATAGAACATATTTTAGGGGTACATAACATATTTAGGGGTTCAGAACAAACATTTTTGAAAAATGTTGTTTTAAGAGACACCCTAATAGAGTTCGGACTGTTGTAATTGTAATGAAAACAATAACAGAAACAATAACAAATGTTATTGTATTATTTTTTTAGAAACAATAACAATACCTGTGATTTACAATTTTTGTAATACGGAAATACAATAACAATAAATATTGTATAGCAATTCATCTTCATAATACAATAACAATATCTGAAAAAAAAAGTATTGTAATGACCCACTACAATAACAATAAATATTGTATTGTAATTCATCTTTATAATACAATAACAAATTATTATCATTATTGTAACGAAAAAAATTATTGTAATACCAATACTTGTTCATGTGACCAGAAATAGAATCAATAATTATATATTATTTGTACCCTATTTCAATAGGGTACAACTAATATATGATTATTGATTCTATTTTATTTTTTGAATATCACATATCCTAGTTGCAAACTTTATACAGCTCCATGAAAGTGAACACTTACTCTAGCCTGAGGTTAAACTTTACTGAGGTAACACTTACTCTAGCCTGAGGTTAAACTTTACTGAGGTAACACTTACTCTAGCCTGAGGTTAAACTTTACTGAGGTAACACTTACTCTAGCCTGAGGTTAAACTTTACTGAGGTAACACTTACTCTAGTCTGATAGGTGATGAGTAATCTGAAAATGTAGAAAAAATAGTTGCAAAATAAAAGTTCACATGTTTAGACAATATAATATATAATTGTCCAGGTCAATAGTTCCCTGATTCCATAATGCTGTAATTTATAATTCATTAGCGGTTATTTATAATACTAAAAATAAACTATTTTCACGCGCTTTATGTAGTTAATTAGTTTAGACGTCATCCAATGAAACATTTCAATGTCAGTTTAAACAAAATTAAAAAAAAAATCAAAAGTTTTACTTCACATAGTAAATAATTATCTAATTACAAACATATAATAAACTATATATTTGTATGACTTTGAATGAATTAATGTTAATTCTGAATAAATTATTCTTTAAACAATTGTATTATTGAACTCAAAATAAATTTAAAAAATTATATGTAAACGGTTGCTAAAAATGGGTACCACGAGCGCCCCTGAATTTAATATTTGTTAAGTATACATAGAATATATACTTTTTTGACTAAAAAAATTAAATATTTAATTATGCAAATGACTGCTAAAAACAATTTTCACATACCCTCTTAATTTTCTAGTGCCCAAAAAATAAAAATATGTGTGAAAATAATTCTAAATACTTTAAAATACAATAGCTATTGGACTTTGAAATAGTAATACAATACACCACAATATTTATTGTAACTGTTTTTCATCAAAACAATACAATAATTATTGCAATTGTTTTACATCAAAGCAATACAATACAAAAGTTTTAGGATTTTGATGTATTGTTAGAACAAAAACAATACAATAGTTACTGTAACTGTTTTTCATCATAGCAATACAATAACAATAAATAATGCTTTAATTACATTTCTGGTATTACAATACAATATTATTGTATTGTAATGCAAGTCTTCCAAGGAAAGGCGTGCGGTTTTTCGTCTTGTATGACCACGCAAGAGTATTTTATTTTAGACAACTTGATCACGGCCGTTTAGAAGTTATATAATATTAATCATGGCGGAAAAAGTTTTATAAACAAAAAAAGCAAAATAAAAAAATTGGAAATAAAAATAAATTTAAATAAAAAATAAATAAATAATTTAAATAATTTATGTACTGTTTTTATTTTTGTTTCTTTAGAATGATTGTTACATTCAACAACAAAATTAGATAAGGCGAAGTTAAAAAAAAAGTTTTAAACCTACAATAAAAATTATGATTTTCCTTTATATAACTTTTTTAAAGAGGAAAGCCAAAATATAAATTGCAATGTATTTGTAAAATATATTTATACAACAATAAGAGTTGAATTAAGCGATCACGAAATGCAAAATCTGGAAAAATATCTGGTCGTCAAAATTTTAGTTTATACATAAATATGTTCTTTGTTTTCAAAGGGCAAATCAGCTTTAATTTGTGAGCAAAAAAGTTATAAAAAATAAAATAATAAACTTATGAATACAAAAGTAATAACACTCTAGTGACTAACTGCATTCTAAAAGTAATAACACTATAATAGTTTTATTACTTTTATAACGCACTTATAACTTTTATAATTTATTCTTTGTTTAAATAAGATAAGTTCTCCCAAATTTTAATTGAAGTAGAAAAGCATATAGAAAAATATAGTGGATATCCAATCAATTTAAAACTTAAGTAACTTATAAAAACGTAAACGTAACTCTATCAAAACGCAATGTATAAAAATTTATTTATTTAAAAACGTTACTAATGATACATAAAAACAAGCGTTAATTTTCAAATCAACCAATACAAATTTTTAAATTAAACGCGACTTTATGTGGAATAGTAGTGACATTTTTCATAATATTTATTAAATGCGTTTTTATAATGTTAAGTGATTTGTAAAAATTCCTCAAGCTTTTAATATTTTTTCTAGATGCTTTTCTACTTTAACTATTGTTTGGAATTACTAATGTTGTTTAAAGAAAGAATTAAATTTAAAAGTAATAAGTGCTTTATATAAGTAATAACACTATTATAGTTTTATTACTGTTATAATGCAGTTGACAAGAGTATTATTACTTTTGTAATAGTAAGTTTATTGTTGTTGTTTTGTTTTTATATTTTTCTCGCTAACAAAATTATAATAATTTGCTACTTGAAAACAAAGTACACAGCTTTGCAAAAACTTAAATTTTGAAGATCAGATAATTTTCCAGGGTTTGCAAATCGCGATCACTTGATTCACCCCTTGATATATACTTGTTACATTAAAATTATACAAATATATTTTACAAACAGATGACAATTTATACTTTCGCTTTCCCCTTTAAAAAAACAAAATATAGGAAAATCATTCTTTTTAACATTTAAAACTTTTTTTTTTTTTTGCTTTGATTTACCCAATTTTGTTGCCTAAAATAATAACCACTATGAAGAAACAAAAAAAAAAAACATTACACAAATTATTTAAATTATTGTTATTATTATATTCTATTTAAGTTTATTTTATATTCCTATTTTGTTATTTTGTTTATAAAACTTTTGTCAGCAACGCATATAAAAAAACTTGAAATGACCATGACCAAGTTGTCTAAAATAAAATACTTACGCGTGGTCATACAAGACGAAAAACCGCACACCTTTCCTGGGAAGGCTTGTAATGTGTTATTGTATTTAATTTTTGCAATTACAATTACAACAGTCGGAACCCTATATACATATATACATAAAAAAGTATAAATTAATAAAAACTATTATGTTAAATAATATTTTAATGAAATTTTAAAAAATAGCATAAATCTTTCATACTTATAAACGAATATATTTTATACTTTTATATTTTAATAAAAATAAATTATAATTTCTTAAACTATTATTATACTTACAGAAGTAGGTATATTTATAACATCTTGATCATCCTCTTGTAAAGATGCAACATTTAAACCTTCTCCCTCATGTGCATAGGCTACCAACTGACCTGTATGCATTAAAAATTATATATATATATATATATATATATATATATATATATATATATATATATATATATATATATATATATATATATATATATATATATATATATATGAAAAAATCTGTGAAGCTGGGCTTTATTGCCAAACATAAATAGAGTTTATAACATTCCAAAGCGAGAAACAGAGTGGCGATCATACAGCTTTTATTGGAAGTTAGCCAAAAAACCTGTCAAGCTTTTTTTTGAAAGTGTTAATGTTGACAATTTCTGGTACATCTCTATAAATAGTAATAAAATTAGGTGTTAGTGCACTCCATTCGGCTGCCACGCAGTTACCTAAAAAGTTTTGAGAGCATTTAATAAATCCTGGTACCGGAATGTGATGGAAAAAACACTGAAAAGAACTGGTGGTCTTGGTGGTCTGATCAGGTTGTTCAAGTGCAGGAGCCTAGTAAGTGACCGGATTCCAGGCACGGCCATGGCTAAAAATTAGAGTTTTTACAAATCCAGCCTAGCAAAATTATAAGATTTAGCAGGGGTTGATAGCTCGGGCTAGAAATAAACTTTTAATTTTTTATATATTATAATATTATACTCACATTTACTATTTATTAACTTCTGGCATACATTTATGCTAGTATTTAATAAATAGAACAGATACAGTAAAAGGATGTAACTTGTTGAATAAGAAGCCAAGCAAGAATGAGTTTTGGTTTATTGTAATAGAGATGATAGCTCTTTTGAGCATTGACCAAATTAGAGAAATAGCATAAAAGAGGAAGGCTAAAGCCTGATGATATCATCATCATCAGCAGATGATGATGATAATGATGATGACAATAGTGATTATAATGATAATGATGATAATGATGATGGCGTTTATGATGATGATGATGATGAAGGCGATGATGATGATAATAATAATAATAATAATAATAATAATAATAATAATAATAATAATAATAATGACAATTATGACGATCATGACAATTATGATGATCATGATGATCATGATAATCATGACAATTATGATGATCATGATGATGATGATAATGATCATGTTGATCATAATGATGTTTATAAATTCATATTTACAAAATCAAACATAAATTTTGAATAAAAAAATGCACTTTAGGATGTATAAATGTTTATGCAGCCCTGTCATAAACCTGGCCCCAGCTATATTGTATCAAACCCGGCCCCAGTTAAATATCAACCCTGGTCGTTTACTACAGAAGCCGAAGATTAATTGATCCATTTGACTTTGCTTATGCCATAATAAATCTTGAAATATGGTAAAAGATCACTTCAGTCTTATCAATTTTTAGATGATTGGATACCGATAGGATAAATTAAAACATTTTATACCAGAAAACTGTTATACCATTAAATTAAAACATTTAAAATAGTAAGCTGCTCTCGAAAAAATATACAATCATGCACCCAATAATTTTATTATTGGGTGCATGATTGAAGTTAATAAATAGTAAATGTGAGTATAAAATTATAATATATAAAAATACTTTCATGCACCTAATACTTTCATGCACCCAATAATATCATGCACAAAAAAACACAAATAATGGGGATGATAAAAAACACTTTTGTCAATTTAGATCATCATTTTGTCAATCAAATTATATACAACTTTTGTTAGACAGCTGATTGAATTCGCAGCATCAGTTTGGTCTCCAAACTACAAGGGTAACATCAACATATTAGAAAAAGTGTGACAAGGATGACAAAAAACATAAAAAGTCTGCAGTACCAATATCGTTTACAGTATTGGTACTGCAGAATAAGAAATACAGTAGAGAACAAACCAAGATTATGCCAAGACACAAATTCCTTATAAACAGAACTGCAAATTTATGGAACACATTACCATCAGATGTCATCAATTCAACAAACGTAAATAATTTCAAAAACAAATTAGACGTATATTTAGTCTCAAAAAATTAACTTATAAACTATTTTTGTTTAAATTTTTCAAATTAAATTGTTGCATATTATTAAAAGCTGTCAAAGTGAGTTTTTAATTCACTCATTGTTAATGCAGCTACAGTTTAACTACTATTACTATTACTATTATATGTGTGCTTATAAAATATGAATTGAAATATAATTGTTTTTTATTGATTAAATTGTTAAAGGTCATACAGTGTCACGCATGAAACACTAAAGTTATTATTTACTTTTATAAAATAAATGAACTTATGACAAATGAAAATACAATTTGTAAGCATGTGGTCTGCAATTAAAAAAAATTATTATATTAATCATAGCAAATGAGAAGAAAATTTCATTCCAAATTTAAAATTCCAAATTATACATTTGTACATATTTATGTCTGTCACACACATAAAATGAAAATCACTTATAGCATATATTAAAAATATCATTAATAAAAAAGATGATAAAATAATTAAATAAATAGCATCAAAAACTTTAATAAAATTTTTATTACAGTTTAATATATAGAATTGTAAACGTAGAAAACTGTTATACCATTAGGACTGCAAGAACATGATGTTAAGTTAGCATTAGTTCCATTTTTCACTGAATGCAAGTTTAATGTTGGCATTGCCCATAGTCGCAAATCTTCACCAGCTGTTGCAAGCAATAACTCAGGCATTTTTCGATTTTTTTAGGTAATCATTTTTTAAATCAGTATATTCTATCTGTGCATGTATGTATGTATGTATGTATGAATGTATATATGTATATATATATATATATATATATATATATATATATATATATATATACATATATATATATATATATATATATATATATATATATATATATATATATATACATATATATATATATATATATATATATATATATATATATATATATATATATATATATATATATATATATATATATATATGTATATATATATATATATATATATATATATATATATATTTATATGTTAAATAATAATTATTAACGCCATTAATAATTAATAATTATTATTTACCATGTTCAAATTGAACATGGTTCTCGAACTTTAAGAACCTTAGATATGACTTTTAATTATTAATCTAATCACAAAAGTTTATTATTCCCATTAATAATGGGATGGTATCTATAATTATAAATAATAATTATGATCCTGAAATGGTATCTATAATTAATTAAATAATATCCCAGTCAAAGCTCACATACTTTTTAAATTACTAATTTGAAATAATATACTTATTGATTAACTTCAATTAATATACTTATTGATTAACTTCAAAGTCAAAATTCCATAAAATATAGAACCATAGAACAGTATTTCTCAAAGATCAAGATTTATTTTGGTTAATTTTTTAATCAATGATTAGCCTTAAATAAAATTCAAATCAAATGATCTCGAGCGACCAATTTTTTTTTTCTTTTTGACAAAATTAAATAATTGTAAAGAAAATATAAAATTGAGAGTTTCTAATAATTATTACTTTTAAATTATATTTGTCATTTAAAAAAGTAAATAAATAAAATTGTTCTCGTTATGTAATGACTTATTTTAAGCGACGACCAAATGCCGTTTGTTGGTTATTTTAAACTCGGCGGTTTTGATGATACAAAAAAATTTTAGTTATAAAAAAATTTAAAAAAAGGACTTATTTAGGCCATCAAAAATCTAAATTTATTTTCAAACGCTCTTTAAAATTTGTATAAATATAATATAAAATTTTTTTTGTTAAAAGATTTGATTTAAATATAAGTTAAAAAACTACATGTAAGTAAATAAAAATTTAAAATAAAGATTTATTCAGAGATGTAGTCAAGACAGTAAAGGCTAAGACCAAGACATTTGGGCTTAAGACCAAGACCAAGATTGAATGCTTCAAGACCAAGACATCAAAAAATTAACCCAAGACCAAGACCAAGACAATGAAAGTTTTTAAAAGACCGGGATCAAGACTATTTTAGGAGAATAGTAAATAAATCTTTTTTTTTTTTTAATGAATTTATTTATTTTAGAAATCAATTATATAATACATTTGTATATTTTGATGAGGAAGTGCTACACCAGGCACTTCCATGCTGAAAGAAGACACTCGTGTGTCCGATCATTCATCTATTACGAATTTTAATTTATGAACACTAACCTTGAACGAGTTGACTGATTCATCTCTTATGGCGTTTAAAGGCAGCGCATTCCAAACATTCACGATGCGATTAGTGAAGAAATTAAATCTTTCTTGACAGTTTTTTACCCTTTGGCGTTCGAGTCGAAGATAATGTCCACATAAATTATATTTGTAAATCAATGGTGCGTAGACTTGAGGGTTATCAAAAATAATTTGATCAATACCTTTTGTAATTTTAAACTGTTGAATCAGATCACCTTGAACTCTTCTTTCTTTAATAGTAGTTAAGCCGAGATGAAAAATTCTTTCTTCATATGGCAAATGCTTTATTTCTGATATTGTTTTAGTTGTTTTATGCTGTACTTGTTCTAGAATAGCAATGTCTTTTTCATTGTGTGGTGACCAAGCCTGGATAGCAAATTCTAACTGGGGTCTTATATATGTTTTGTAGAGCACTTTTCACAAAAAGAGTCCACTTCTGAAAATTTTCTTAAGTCTACCAAGTTTACTGTTGGCTCTTGCTGCTGCTGATTCAACTTGATAGCTTACTTTAAGATCGTATGATAGAAGTACTCCCAGATCATGTTTGTGTTTAGTGACGTCCAATTGAATTATGTTTCCACTCAAATCAAGCATCGAATAAGTTTGAGTAGATTTAGAGTAACCACGCCCAACGTGCATAACTTTACACTTATCGAAGTTGAGAGGACTATTACACTTATGCGACCAATCTACAAGATTATGTCAGTTTGCAATGTTCTTTGGTCCTCCTCAGATTTTAGTACTCCGATTATTTTGCATTCGTCAGCATAAATCTTTATGTGATGAGTAATATAGTCCGGCAGATCGTTTATATATAAGAAAAAAAGAAGTGGATCGAGCACAGAGCCCTGGGGTACCCCGCGTGTTACATATTTCAATTTAGATTTATGCTTGCCGATTACAACCCGTTGATAACGATTTGTTAACCAGTTTGCTATTCAGTCTAAAACTTTGCCGTTTATACCATAGACTTTAAGTTTGTGTAAGAGTCTGACATGTGGAACTTTATCAAAAGCTTTCGCAAAGTCAGTGAAGATGATATCAGTGGGGCAGCCCTGATGCATTGCTTCGGTTAGTATATCCCGAGTTTCAAGTAAGTTCGATGGGCATCCTTTACTTCGTAATTTTAAAAAGAAATCTGTGCTGTTCTTTGGATATTAGGTTAGTGCTAAGACAGTGATTTATGATTTTTTCGTGTATAATACCTTCTATAATTTTGCAGGGTACCGATGTTAGTGAGACTGGTCTATAATTGGCTCGGTTCTGCTTGCTGCCTTGTTTAAAAATTGGGGTGACATTTGATTTTTTCCAAAGCTCTGTCTATTAATGTCTCAGTAAAAATATTTATATACTTATTTTTTATTCATTTATGTATTTTAATACATCAATCGAAAATAAAATACATAAACAAATAAAAAAATAGCAATATAAATAATTTTAATTAAAAAAATTTAAAGATTTTTTAAAAATTCTCCTAACACAGTTAGAAACTTGTCAAACCAACGCAACGAACTCTAATTGAGAGCGGGAGGTTGCGCCGATCTGCGGTTTGTTATTAATAACTAACTCATTCATTGAGCTGATATTTTTCGTAAGAAACAAGAAAGTGAAAGACAGTTGAGGTCCGAGATCAAGACCAATACTCTAGACCAAAACCAAGACAGTCGAATCTCGAGGCGTCTCGAGACCAAGACTTTGGTCTCGAGACCTACATCTCTGGATTTATTTATGAATGCATGTATGTTAGTAAAAATTAAACTATGAATGCATGTATATGTTAGTAAAAAAATATATATACACGATCGAGGCTGAAAACAAACAAACAAAGAAATAGATATCACCACTAGACAAATTTTTATCCGACACTTAGATTTTTGATAAATAAATTTTTGTTGCTTTAGAAGGCAGAGGTCAGGGTTCGAATTCATTGTTTGAATCAATCACCTCATCGTTAAAGAGGGAGTTGTTAACTTTCTAGTTAAATGCTCTCTCGCGGTTCTCTGTGACAAGACCATTTGCGACTTCTTGGGGTACTTAACTGTTAACATGCTTAACTTACGCAACCTTCCTCTAACGTTTAAAATATTTTAGTATTTTAAACGTTATAAAATAAGTATTTCAAAGAATAAAACTCAAAAACTGATTGGTAAAATAAGAAATAAACTTTTTAAAAAGTTAAATAATAAAAATTGATTTGTAAAACAAGAAATCAAAAAAATATAAACTAAAGTTTTTTTATTGTTGATTCGATTTATAGTTTTTTAATCTTATTATTAATTTTATAATATCTTATATTTAATTCTAACTTATTATTTAATCAAATTTCTTTTCATTGTTAAATTAATAAAGAAAAACATGCAGTAAAAAGTAAAAGATAAATTAACAACTCGAACTTATAAATTTTACAATGAGAAGGTTATCGTTTAAAATATTTAAGTAAATATGTATAATCCAAATATACAATAACAGTAATTAAAATGTTAATAAAGTATAAATTTTGTTTTTTAATTTAAAACTTTTTGAGAGAAATTTAATTTATCTTTTATTTACCAAATGTAATTAATTTTTGTTTTAAATTCTATTAAAGAAGAATTAGTTTTCAGTTTATTACTTAATAGATTTTTCCACAACTCAAGACCTCGGTTTGCAATTGAGAACTTAATAGCGGAATAGTAATGAGTTGAATCGAATGAGATACCACATTCGATTCAACTCATTACTATTCCGTGGTATCACATTCGATTCAACTCATTACTATTCCGCTACTAATTCTCAATTGCAAACCGAGGTCCTGAGTTGTGGAAAAATCTATTAAATAATAAACTGAAAACTAATTTTTCTTTAATAGAATTTAAAACAAAAATTAATTACACTTTTAATAAACTTAGTATTTTAAATGTGTATTAACTAAGTTCTTTTAAATTAAAACTCTTTTAAATATTTTAAATGTGTATAAATTAGACATTTATCATATTCTTATCTTCATGCTCAAATTTTATTAAAAAAGTATTACTGATTTTACTTTTTCAAAAAGTAAATCCTATACAACTCACCGAAATACAATGTTGTATCAGTAATACTTTTTTAATAAAATTTGAGCATGAAGATAAGAATATGATAAAGGTTTAATTTATACACATTTAAAATATTTAAAAGAGTTTTAATTTAAAGGAATTTAGTTAATACACATTTAAAATACTAAGTTTATTAAAAGTGTTTGTGTGTAAGAAACTATTTGTGTAGCCAAGCAACGTTTGCATAATTTAGAAGTAAGAGAAAAGTTTTATTAAACAATATAGATTTAATAACTTGGTTGGCTTTGTACAATATACCAATATTTTTTTGATATTTTATCCGGTTCGAAAGTTTTTAGAGAATATTCGGTTTTTATAAAGACAGATGAATAAAATTCATTTATTTTTGTTGCTATTTAAAGGTTTTTGAACAAATAAAAGATATTCTCTTTAAAGTTTTCAAAGTGTCAATACAACAAGTAGTTTTTTCTGATCAGTTAAAAATAGTCCAATCTTAAAGAAGGAAACAGAGCTAATATATGTAAC